TGTACGAATCAAGAAAATACCAACGATTACAGCTTTGTAAAACTAAAGAACAGCTAGCTGACAGCAGTTTTAATTTAAGAAATAAAACGATTTGATGTCATTTGTTTAAGAGTAATCCAGATCAAATATTTTTTTAAAGGATTATTTCATATTTCAATCCATCACAAAAAATCTGAACTCGCTCTCCCCGGCGGGGAATCGAACCCCGGTCTCCCGCGTGACAGGCGGGGATACTCACCACTATACTACCGAGGAAACAGCTGGAAAGTTTCATGTGAATTTTATCATTGTCAGCATTAAATGATTTTTCCATCAATAAGAGAAATTGCTAAAAAGCTATAATTAGCCTCCCCGGCGGGGAATCGAGCCCCGGTCTCCCGTGACAGGCGGGGATACTCACCATTATACTACCGAGGAAACAGCTGGAAAGTTTCAAGTAAATTTTATCATTGTCAGCATTAAATGTTTTCCCGTCAATAAGAAAAAATGCAAAAAAGCAATAACAGTAAGCAATAAGTGATTTTCAGTAAATAATTCGACAACGCCGAAAAAGCAATAATATCACTCTCCTCGGCGGGGAACTCACTCATGTCAAACTCATTGAATACATTTTTTAACATTTGCCCTTTGCCCCAATGGGTCCCAGACCTCCTCACTTGTCATGCGCAGTGACATTCGATATCCCAACACCCGAAGGAATGTATGTTACAGCACGGAGGATAAAAGGACGAAGCGAAAATGTGTCACTACAAAGCGACTTATTATAGACGAAATTTGTGGAGTTGAAAGCAGAGAAACTAAAAATAAACGAGTCAGAGATAATACTTTTTATGAAGTCGAAATCAAAGAGGTTGATAAAGCTGGGAAAAGAGTCAAACTGACACATTAAAGGTTGAAGAAGTGATAGATGTAATGAGTGTCATTGCCCGTAATGCGTCTTGAACTGCCGTTGTAAGCTAAGAATATGTTTTTTTTTTTATTCCTTTTTTTATCCTTTGACTTATCATTACCCCTTGATTTCCAAAAATTTTCTCTATAATTCGTGATGGTCGTGTTATTGCGGAGTCGGGTTAGTTTACGTGTTCTTTAGACGATATGAACAATAAGGAAGCTTAAAAGAAATTTGACCATTAATTATGCTGAATAAAAGCAATAAACCGAGTAGTCATTTATGATTATTTACTTGTTGAATTCAACCCGTTCGAACCGTTCGATTCCTCTCCAAAGTCGTTTGTAGCCGCTCCAAGAGAGTAAAGAATATCCATTAGAGAGATCAGTCAAATGTCATCAGTGTACACTCTCTGTTCAGTACAAACCTACAAGTATTATACACCAAAACACGTCAAATTTATCCATCTATTTGAATATCTCGGTAACGAAAGACTACGAGCATGCATAGTTAAGTTCTAAGGCTTAAACCTTTGGTCACTAGATAAAAATAGACACTGAATTCCTTCATGTACTGACTCAGTCACGAGAAGAAAAGTCGAATTATACATTGTTGAAAATCCAACCGTATCATCATCAATTATAGCTCTAAATAAAAGATAATATGTTAATTATGTATAAACCACAGGTAACAAATAGTATTTATTTGAAATAACATCCAGAGAAAGCTAAAAAGCGCTAGTCTCCTCTCGCAGCCGTTACGAGGCTTGTTTCAGGTCACTGTAAAAACGAAAAACGTAATTCTATCATTAGCAAATATAAATTGAAAAGCAAATTTCTAATTAAAAAAATATGAAGTCGAATGATATGCGAAGTAGCGGTTTCCCGCTCTTGGCAGTTCGGACTTCGTTTAATGTAGGTTTCATTTCTTATTACTCGGGGTTCCTGTGGAACCCAGAGTTTAAATTTCGGGCTTCTTATTTTTATTTTTCGTCGCTTATCAGTCACAAATTGTCCACAGGTAGCCCAAGCTCATAATGTTATTCTAAAAATGCTATTTAGAGACCAAATTAGCGAAATATTATTATTGTCCTCGATAGAACATCTCAATGAAAGTATTATTGTGAAATTTTGAGCCAAAATAATGCTTTTTAACAGAAATACGAGCAAACGAAAATTGGTAAGAATGTATGGGATTATCACGTCTCAATGCGTTTTAGACAGGTCAAGAAATAACTACAAAAGGCTGTGTTTTAAGATCTAAATGAATTTTTCATGTTCATGGCCAAAAACAGCATATAATTCCCAACAATTATGCAAAGTTTGAAGTCAAACTGCGATTTTTTAGCAAAAATACAAGCGTTTGAATATGGTCTTACTTTACAAGGGAATGTATGGGAAAGCCTTGGTGTACTATCCAGTACACAACCACGCGGACAGTAACTCCGAGTGTCGAAATAAGCTCAAAAGTAATGATTTTGCTTCAGTTTTCTAACAATATCATTCTAAAAATTTAATTTAATGCTGAGACTATAGTTGCTTTAAGATTTATAGGCTTTCCGAGGTTAATTTGGCGTGTTTCAAGTAGCTTGACAGTATTGCGTGACATATTTGTGAACGTTAATAACTCAACGAATAAACAGCAAAAATAGTTGAAACTTTCAGAGAGAACTTCTATTATGCTCTTCAAGGTATTTTAGTACTTTAATGTTGTGTGTCTGTGATTTTAGAATTTTTTTCGACTGATGACTTCATGTGCAAACCGATGAGAATAGTCGGCGAGACTGTAATACGCGAGGTGGAAGAAGACAGAAATTCAACGTCTACAAATACGCTCAAATCACTTAAAAATATCCACACTTTCGTGGCATAGCCACACTAAAATATGACCAGCGTTTTTCCGAAAAAGGAATTTCAGAAGATAACGTAAATTTATCGAGAATTTATCTTACTGTCAATCGAGATCGAATCTATCGAGAATTGTCTATCAAACAAGCTACCTATCTTAGCACAAGCGAACTGTATACGAACTTATGCAGGCTCTGAAACTACTGAGGTCTCGTCTAAGGAATGCGAACAGATTCTTCTGAGGAAAAGCCGACGAATGGAAGAGCGGAGAAGATAAAAGACTCTGTGTTTACAGCCTGTCATGTGACTATCAAAGACCGGCTTGCTGATGATCAATTTTTTCATGATATTTATGCTGAGTACAGTGTTTTTTTTATTATTTTTTATTCCAGTAAGTATTTTTTGCTTTATGCCTTTTGATAGTATGACTATTAACTTTATTAAGGTTCAATATAGTCCAATTCTTCTCAATTCTTCGACTACAACACTCATTGTTGTCACTTCATCGTTTTATGATATATTCAAGCAGAACCCCGAGTTCACGCAGCTATGCGTCAAGTTTATACTAATAAAAGTTAATTTTGTCTTCAATGTGGGAGCACTATCTCACAGTTAGAGATATAATCCTGCGCATGCGTGTCAATACAAAACGTATTTAAAATTTGCCTTTTCATGGTATGAAGGTTCTGGACCAGGGAACAAAAAATGCCGTAATTTACTTAGAAAAATCGATCCAGTTGTAAAGCCATTCTTGTACCCAGAGCACATCAGTAGGATTTGCATCCTAACATCATAGTTAAGTATGCTAACATGATAGTTACTTCTTGCTATCGGATAAATATGCTTAAAAGCTTCATTATTTTCCTCGTATTAGTATATCAAGCTCAAACATCGATTAAGTGTAATATGGGATAGATGTATTTGCTATTTGTACGAATCAAGAAAATACCAACGATTACAGCTTTGTAAAACTAAAGAACAGCTAGCTGACAGCAGTTTTAATTTAAGAAATAAAACGATTTGATGTCATTTGTTTAAGAGTAATCCAGATCAAATATTTTTTTAAAGGATTATTTCATATTTCAATCCATCACAAAAAAATCTGAACTCGCTCTCCCCGGCGGGGAATCGAACCCCGGTCTCCCGCGTGACAGGCGGGGATACTCACCACTATACTACCGAGGAAACAGCTGGAAAGTTTCATGTGAATTTTATCCTTGTCAGCATTAAATGATTTTTCGGTCAATAAAAGAAATTGCTAAAAAGCTATAATTAGCCTCCCCTGCGGGGAATCGAACCCCGGTCTCCCGCGTGACAGGCGGGGATACTCACCACTATACTACCGAGGAAACAGCTGGAAAGTTTCATCTAAATTTTATCATTGTCAGCATTAAGTGTTTTTCCGTCAATAAGAAAAAATGCAAAAAAGCAGTAACAGTAAGCAATAAGTGATTTTCAGTAAATAATTCGACAACGCCGAAAAAAGCAATAATATCACTCTCCTCGTCCCCAATGGGCCCAAGACCTGTTAATAAAAGAAATGCCAAAAAAGCTATAATCGGTCTCCCCGGCGGGGAATCGAACCCCTTACACGTGGATATTATTTTTGTCAGTGATTTTTCCGATGATATTATTGTTATTATTTATTCAGGTGATGCTATTTTAACAAAAAAAATTCGTTTTTGAAATATATTGTGTAGAAACCCAGTCGTTCACCTTCCTGCCKAAAAGTAGTCATTTTGTTCTTGTATGGAGTGCAAAAGCCATCTTTTATGGTGCTTTGAATGGTGAAGGTGAGTGGGCTACGGCCATGTAATGGTGTGGTGTCTTGTTGTCTGCCCTCGAATCYTATCTGTCGAGCTCAATATAAACTACTCCAATCTTGACTTTTAGCAATGATCGTCTCATTTGTGTTTGCTTTGGCACATGTGGAATACGACGTTGAAACTTTAATTACGTAGAATCATTTACAGATTCAATCCTGTGTATTGTTTTTCATACTCCTGTTTTAAATGCTCGTCGCATAGTAGCGACCAGTGACGCGACATTTCTTCTAGCATGCATCGCTGGAGGTTCAATTTATGACCTGCATTTCTTCAAAATACTTCATGACATCCAGACACCCATCTAACTTTTTCGCTCGAGCTAGTATCCTTATAAAACAAAGTAGTTACGAATTTGTAATTTGTATTACTGACATGTTTCTATTTTCCTGTATGTAGGTGCACTACTTGATTTAAGAACACGTGATGGTATACKCCCTTTTACTGTTGATGCAACAGCAAACATTTCAACAGTTTGTACGGGTAAGAGCAGGAGCTTGTACTCTATTTATGAGAAGTTTGGAAAGATCATTCTCTTTTTTATAAAACAAGTTGTGCTTTTGGTAGTATGGTGTTATATTGTCATTTTATCAATCTGGTATAGGATGGTTAGAGGAGTTTGTAGTCGTACTAAATGACGGAAGGATGTTCTACGGAAGAAGTCACCTATCGTACATTGTTGAGGTACATTTTACGTTTAAGTTCGTCTCTTTTCCTACTGAGGTGTAAAACACGTATATAAAACTGTCCGACTTGTYTGTTTTTAATGTGAACTCAATGCCTCTCCTGCGTATGTATTTAATTGATGATGTTATTACTAGATATTTCCAGGCGAACCAGACACAATTCAAATATCCACCATGTTCGACCTTACTGGTCAGCTGATACTGATCACCAACTCGAGGTAATCAGAATTTTCCTGATCTTTTAAGTTTTAGAAAATATGACCATTCAGAATACAGTCGGTAATAATCACTGATAATAGTAGAGTTTAAAGGTTTTGTGTCAGGTTGAACTCATTCCAGATTGCCGGCAGTGCAGAACAATGCTCGTCATTCTGTGATACAAATTTCTTCCGTTCTAACGGCATACTTCTTCAAGAAGTGCATTCGCACATTCTCTTTCTACGCAAAATCCGCAAACCAATAGAATTAATAGTATTCAAATCATTTTWAAAAAACTGGCATTTTTTTGTGTGTTTTTTGTTTTGTTTTCTTACAGTGAAGGCCTGGGTTATCGGATTTTTCCCTTACGAAATGAAGTGATGAGTGCTATGTTTCCCGATGTACAGTGTCCTGTAAGTATAAAAAAAGAGAATTTTATATCGTTTTTGGACTTTTATATTTTAGCGCGATAGTTGTGATTTTCCTTATCTTTCTGCGTATGTCTTATGTCATACGTTGCTATCAAATCAGTTTTCCACTTGTTTTGACCAATGTATGTTATTTTACTCTTAGTACCTYGAACTTTCTTCAAATATTCCACCAGACGTGCAGTATATTGACAAAGGCGAGACAAAAKCAGTAAGGGACYACGTCTACTTTCTTTATTTTTGATCATTATATATATATTTACTTCTGTTTTTGCTATCGTTTTTAGTTTTGGGTTTCTTTGGTTCATCATCTTTCATCCAGCAATACTGTAGWGGTAAGTATATCAACACACTATAGTTCCTTGAACAAACGATGCATGTATCTGCAAACTAAACAGCGGTCATTATATTCTGACGTAGATAAGATATCAATCTCGTACCCAGAGCCCGCACTTTTACCATCCAGCGGATGTCAAGGCGTGAGAAAGACAAAATTGACCTAATAGGCGATATGCATTATGGCGTGATTTACTACAACTACCAGAATGCTTTCCCAACTTTCTTTTGTAATGCAATTAGTGCCAATTGTTTTATTAATCTCCAAGGTGATTAAAAATCTGAGCTAACAATGAAAATGCGCAAGGCTCTCTGGTAGTTATAGTAAAGTTACGGCATAATGCAAACGGCCTATTTGCGACGGAAAAGCGGCGTCTCAAATCCAGTTGATTTCTTCAGAATCTATCCGGACGTCAGTATACCGCTGACATTAGCCGTGAAGACTCTGGGCTCGAGATTGATAAGAAATTGATTACCAGTACGGCTAAGAGAACAATCAAACTTCCGGACAGGATATACTCTCAGTTAGCCAACAAAAAGAAATGTATATGTAATTCCTCGGTAGTATAGTGGTGAGTATCCCCGCCTGTCACGCGGGAGACCGGGGTTCGATTCCCCGCCGGGGAGAGGAAGATTATTTTGTAATTTGTCATTTAATTTTTATTTGTCTTCATTTATCTTTACCAGCACAAGCCGTCGAGTACATCACTTGTTGAAGTAACGATGGATGAACAATCACAGTATTATCCAGGAATGGTTATGATAAATAAGGTGAAAGTATTGCTAGACATTTTTAGCCTTTTTACCAACACGGTCGCCATCTTTGAATTAATCCAAAATAACGTGATACCCGAAGTACGATTGCATACATCACAATAAAACTGTTCAGAAAAATCATGAATTTTTGCTTCAATTGTGGACGAATACTGTCTTGAAAATTATATCAGATGCAGRCTAGATTCTCTTTTAATAGGTTCAATTATTGACTGCGACCTTCTGTTCATGACGAACTTGTCTCTGCCTTTGATCTGCTGTTATTGCCATTTGAAGTTGATTTGAAGTTGTTGAATATTGAGTTGATACGTCAGTCTYAAGYTGTGCAGCCAWGAAATATCWGCGCGGTGTCCCCTTAAAATAAAACGACAACGAAATTCCAGATGGCGGCCATATTGGATCCTTGACCATTCCGTATGTTGTTTGCATCTTGCATTGCTTCTCTTCGTTTCACAATCAACTCTAACCAGTGTACACTGTGCTTAATAAACCCCCTTTTTAACCCTCTTCTTTATTTTTTTACTTACAGACTTTCACCTTCTCGAAGACTAAGACAGACAACAAATACACACAAAATAGGTAACGTTCTTAGACGATTTCTCGCATTCTGGATRAAATAAAAGTTCTGGTGGATAATTCGGGACAAACTATCTCAATTCAAAAGGGACAGTCGCGCACTTTGCGAGTCCGGATTTTTTTTTTTTTCGTTTTATGCTCGACTCCAACCTAGGATACCACCAAATCAGTTGGAAATTTGTTGTGTAAATTTGATTATAATATCAACTTCCTGCAATGCATTTTCTACTGTAACAACAACAACATTTTATTTATATTTAGTTAAATAACTACAAAGAATACATTGCTACCCTCATTTTCTATTTGTTGACTCTTTTCTTGGTATGCGTAAACGACGGCCATTCTTGATCGGAATTGATCTGTCCAATCAGCGAGCACTGGTAATGATGATGATTTGCTGTGCGATTTTCATACGCTAGTGCAATATTATATAAAAACGAYGATGACTCGGTAAAGGTTAATCGATTTTGTTATTTTCAGCACGTTTGGAAAAGGAACTATGTCAGTATTGTTTCACCCTAAAATAACAGGTTTAACATGCATGGACCATTGTGAAAAGGTAAACAAACGTAAAGAACATACTAGTCTGGGTCTAGTCTAGTCTCCTCGCAGCCGTTCTTAGTGGCGGGCTCCCTGTCAAAGCTCGGATTGTAGCAGCCGTTTGTGGGGCGGGGGACAGGGAGCCCGCCACTAAGAACGGCTGCGAGGAGACTAGGTCTAGTCATACTAGGAAGGGTTTTATAAAGCATTACAAGGTTCAATTTTTTTTTCTGTATTACGGATGCGTTTTAGTAATCGTCCATAAAGCAAATTGTATTGTTCTAAAAGGAGAGMAAACTGGTTATCACGTGTCCTCGGTAGTATAGTGGTGAGTATCCCCGCCTGTCACGCGGGAGACCGGGGTTCGATTCCCCGCCGGGGAGAAGTAATGTTTTGTTTTCGTATGCATTTGGTTTTCCTTGTGGTTTCTGTTATTTGTGAATTGACAATTTTTCCAAATTTGCTTTATCTTCTTTTCTGTTCAAATGTTTGTCCCTTTCTTTTTTTTTATTTTTTCATGTTTCCTCCTTTACTCCTCTTTTCATATTTCCTCGCCATCTTCTCTTATCCTCACTTTTCTTCCCATTCCTAACTTTCTCTCGTCTTCCCCTCTCACATCTGACACATTTTTTTCACGAATTGACCTATTGTTATTCTATTGTCCTTATTGTYGTTTAGGCGTTATTAATCAAGGCTGACTGCCCACCAACAAGACACTTAAGGATTCGTAACTGTACAAAGGCAATGGCAGAAGTAGCTTCTAAGGACTTTACAAACTACCATAATATGGTACAGTGTGAATTAACCAGCCGCRTAGGAAGTCAAATGTCTCTAGTGCTAGACATGTAAGTCAAATATTGTAAAGAAGTACTATTGTAAATAAATTGATAAGAATTGGTGGTAGATGATACCGAAAATTGAATAAATTGGGATATTAACAAGTGATGGAAAAATATGGAGGAATGAATGAAATATCGAACAATGGATATCATGAAGACATTTGTTATATGAAGGAAATGACAACGTCTTGAATATCAAACGCTTCTTTCTCTATGCCAGTCAACCGAACATTTCGGTTATGCACTTTAGGAAAGTGTATGATTCCTCGGTAGTATAGTGGTGAGTATCCCCGCCTGTCACGCGGGAGACCGGGGTTC